TGTGACGTCTCTATGAATAAAAAATTCTCGAACGGAACGTAAAACAACATACAATCAATCAATCAATCAAATTAACAATGTTACAACAAATTATAAATACCCGTGACAATTTTCTTTGTTTCTAATCTTTGTATTTTTTAAGAATAAGAACAATATTTTTTCAATTGGTTTTTTGCAGTCCATTTAATTTCGGATTATAGACTGACCTGAACCACGTGTTCGAATTAAATGGAAATATGTAATTGGCCAGTAAACGTTGCTATTCATTCAATGATTGGACAATTGTTCGTGGTAAGATTCGCTACGAGCATTAATAATAATTATATAGCCATATAATGTAAAACAAAAGTTTGTCATTGTAGAAGATATTGCACATTTTTTCTACCAGAGTATTGGGCGATTTTGGAAAAAAAAAATGTCGCTACTTGGCTCTAATCTTCGCCGTAAATTATCACAAAAGAGAAGATTGGGTAGATTGTGATTTTGAAGGTCAGACGATAGTATTACGTTCCTCAAATATCTGTTTTGTATATCTTCGTAATGTATGAAAAATACTCAAAATTTTAATTACCTTCTGATTTCTTTTTTTTTTTTGTATGTTGTTTAACGTCCCTCTCGAGAAGTTTTCACTCATATGGAGACGCCACCACTTGCCGGTGGAGAGCTGCAAATTTTGTCCTATACTCGGCACTTACGGCCATTGAGCAGTGAAGAATCTTTTTCGTGCCAGCACCTACTGCGACACGGGACCTCGGTTTATACGGTCTCATCCGAAGGACCGGTCTCCACGTCCCACAGTGGGATTCGAACCCGCGACGTAAGAATAAACTCCTTACGCCGCGACTCTAGAGCGAACGCTCTAACCACTGCGCCACGCGGGCGACCCTTCTGATTTCTAAACCAGTTTCTAATCGTCTATAAAAACTTCGAACACTAAAAAAAATTGATATTGGCAAATTAAATTTTTTCCCAAAAGGATTATATAAGAAAAATTACCCTCTGGTATCTTGCACAAATGCCTGGTAAGGTACCTCAATTTTTTTTAGTAAACATGTTAATGTAGCAATACTTCAATGACAAAATCTTGGAAAAAATTATATATTATTGAGAAACGTATCGTCAGTACTCAACCCCCTTTCTTTTTTAATATCATGAAAATCTTTCAGAAAGGTCTGAAAACACATTTTTCATAGGACGTGTACTAGTATTTAAAAGAAATAGATTATAGCAATTTTCTGTTTACTGCCAATTTTATTTATAAAACCGGTTCTACCCTATAACTTTTGAATGGGTTGTCTTGAATTTAAATCACAATAACATTAGTAGGGGTGATATGGCAAAAGGTATCTGAACATTTTACATACAATATTAAATTTTGACTTGGGAGAGAAGAATTGTATTTTAAATCATGATTTCTATAGATGTAACATTATAAGGAATCCAAATTGTTCTTGAGGATATAAGGATAGTCATCATTATTTCTTTTGTGTATAGAAAATATCTTGAAGCTAGACGTTTAATGTTGAATGCATTACTTGTAATTAATAATGTAAAAATGTTAAATGTGCATAAACTGTTATGGGGAGATGAATCATTGAAAAAAAATCAATGAAAAATTTTTTTTTGGTATTGTTCAAAAATTTATTCAGGATACTGGTCGTTTTAATTAACACTTATTTGTATTTACTATCTCTCTTGAAACTATTTAATATGGTTATTGTCGTCATTATAATCATCACTTTATCAATTGATATTCCTGAGCAATAATAACTGTTTTTGTTCTTTTATGTTCATGTATATTATTGTAGAATTGTAAATCTTTGCAAATGTTGTATGGCTATTTAGATTTTATGTATGGGAGAGAACTATCTTAGTTTTTAGAACTTGTGTCCAATCCCTTTGACATACTGTCAATAAAATATGTTCAAAACATTTATGATTATATGTGAATAAAGCATCAATGTAAAATCATTCTTTTATAATAACTGGTATATGTACATATCAGATAATTATAGAATAATGTGTCATTAAGACGTGTCAGCCAAAACCAATATTATGCCGGACACAATTATGGGTTGTAGGCCTATTTGCAAACAAGAACATTATAATTAAGCTACCAGTATTTGCGAAATGCTAACTTTTAAAAAGAGATTGTTGGAAGCCCTGTAACATAAACTTTGTCAATACCCTGCAATTGATCGTACTCAGAACATGCTTTTGTTGAATCATTTGGGAGACATAAACACCATATGTATGTGGAATAATTATGATATAAATAGGGGAAATTGACCATGGGAAAGCTAAAACCAGCGATCGATCCCGATTGTCAGCGATTACATATACGTTGGTCATTAATTTCTATAGTCAGTAAAACATCAATATAAAAGATTATTCGTTTCTAGTTCATGAACAATGTGATTATCGTGTCGCATGTGAATGAAAATATAACTATTATCAATTGATTCAATTCATAAAACTTTGCCCATAGTGATATATATACATATAAAGTTAAAACCACTATTCTACATGTAAATGTATACAATTTTAATTCTGACGTTTTTTTCCATTAAAATCTGGGCTCTTCCACCCTCTGATGCTGCACCCTTGTAATGTGCCATTGTTCTTAACAGAATCCTCACTATTAAATATTCTTTCCCGATTCAGAAACTTGCATCTATTAGAAATTTTAGTATAACATATTGTAGGATATACATGTACCTTGCCATATATCTTTTTTCCCTTTCTCAATTCCGTTGATGGCATTTTCACAAAGGATATGTGTCTGATTACGTACTGTTAAAGGTCGGGCTCAATGTAGTGTGAATCGGGCTCAAAATTCAATACTGTTAAAGGTATGTACCAACATGGCGGCATTTTTGAGAAGTTCTCGTTTTGATCTTTAGCCTTTCATTAGTATTCATTTTGTAAGCATCTTAGTTTGTTCTTTTATGCCGTAAATTTAGCATTATGTAAAGTTATTTATATGGATAAACAGGTGAGTTCTTAATAAAATCGGCGACTCGAGTAAATAGCAATTCACTATTCATGTAGAGTGTTGAATTGTCAAAACGATCATACCACGGCCACTGGATATTATTTTCAATACTGAGTATGTGCATATATAAAATATACATGCACATACTCAATATTTACACTAATTTCCATTGTTTGTGGATCATCCGATGAAACAACAGATAAAGGCATAAAAAGAAAAGAAACGTATGTAAAAGACAAAAAAAAAAAAAAAAAAAAAAAAATCAAGTTAATCCTTTTTGTTAATGTTCAAAGCATCAATGTTTGTGTATATAGGGTTATAAATGTGTAACAGGAAAGGAGAAAATGTATGGCTGGACTTGGAATCAAACCTGGGACCTCTGCATCACTGGTCAGGTGCTCTCCCAACAGAGCTATCCAGGCCAATATCCACTGCCCAAATTATTACATTCCTCCCTCCTTCAATTATCTTCGCTCGCTTAAACACAATTCAAGTTCTTTTTGCCCTGGCAGGACTTTCACTGGCAATTCCAACGGTGGTCAGTGGCATCAAATCTGTAACAGGTAGGGAGAAAATGATTGGCTGGACCGGTAATTGAACCCAGGACCCCTGCATTACTAGTTAGGTGTTCTAACAACTGAGCTAATGAGCAATCCAGGCCAATATCCACAGCCCAAACCATTACAAATGTATCTAAACTAAAGAATTCTTTCCTAACATCTTAGAAATGGAGAAGGGAATCTTCGGATTGCATCCCATTACAGTTTAGTGCAGAGAACAGAGTGATTATCCAAGTCGGTAAACTATTTACCTGATTATGAGAAGAAATCATTTTAGATTATTATTCAAATCCAATCCAGAACTATTTACATTTTTTTTTTTTATAATCTCACATTTTAAGCACTAAGAAAAGACCAGTCACAGTACATAAAACATGAACCAGACAAGACGCACAAATGTATCAAAAATATGTGAAAAGAATTTTTTTAAAAATTGAAAAAAAAACTGCTTTTTTCCTGTCAAAAGCTATTTCATGGACTAATGAATATTTTATAATTGTCATGATTGTAGGGAAAATGTGTATTATTACCCTAAATGAGTAGTCCATGAACCAAAATTCGATGTTGCAAGTGCGAATTAAAAAAAAATATGCAATTGTATATTAGAACCGTTTGTTTGAATGAGACAATGTTCAGATGATTTAAATGGCTTCTGTATTAATGAAATGTAGTTGGTTAAGTCAAGAATACCATTGACTTGCTGAAAACATTTCTTCTGTTTTCTCTGACAACAAACATGCAAATCTGAAACATTGGATATATTCCTTATTAGGTCTGCACAATAATATCGATATTCCGGTATATTGTGATTTGTTAACAAGAAATGTCTTATTGCGATATGTTTTTCCAGTAATGGTATATCGGTAAAATGCTTAGGCTTGGAATTTCTAAAGTAAAATATGAAATTTAAGATGCCAGAAATGCTTTCAATCATGCCAAACAGTAAGGTTGCTGTTGTGTGGTTGTATTTCATTGCAAAACTGAAGTGAAATCAACAAGAACTTTTTTTGCTATAATGTATTTATAATACACATGTAAATTTTTCACACTGATAATAAATGGAGGTTAATAAAATAAGAAAAGAGTATTTTAACTCTTATTTAAAATATTGCAATACCTATCACAATACAGTTTAAAATATCACAATATATCGCAATACAAAATTCCCAGCCGATACGAAGCCCTATTCCTTATAGGATAGGGCAAATTTTTTTTTTTTATAAGTCAAAGTAATCCTTTGCATTCAAGGTTTGGAGGATAGCCACTTGGGTACCTGGCATGTCAAAGAAACATTTTTTGAAGTTCTTCATATTTGTTGATATATGGATCCATTGAATAAAGTATTTTTCTCTTAAAATCCAAATCTGATCAATTAAGAATGTTAAGCATTTTTGTGAATTTTGAAAATTAGCTGACTATTCATTTATCATTTTCAGTTTTTAAAATTATTTTCAATTTGCAGTTGGTCATTGAAATCTGAAAGGAATGCATCATGTCAGGCAAACAAGAGGAAGATATTGCCAAAAAACTTCATACATGGTCTGTTCAAGAGATGTTATTCAGTCCCCAAGGAGTCCATGCCAACACCCCCATTCCTACAGTGGAAAACTTCAAAGAGTAAGTTAGCATTATAGAGTATTATCCTTCAGAATAATACAGTAAATCTCATTGGTCTAGAGCTTGTCACATGCAGGGAGACAATTTGTGATGTCTCCCTTGCGTGCAAGTTGACACCTGTGTTGTCTCCCTTTCGATGAAAATAAAATGCCATAAGCGAGATAACTCTGATACATAATTAATGTTTATATATGCGGAATAGGTAAACAATAAATTCGACTGATGTTGATGTCAAAGTTGTCTGTTGACCATATTTTGAAAATTGGGGGTAGGAAACAAAAGAGGTTTTCCTGATACATGTATTTTACACTTTTTTTTTTTTTTAAAATAAGTTTATATTCTTCAGGATAATAAAACTATTATGACTGTTTAGAAAGGAGACATCATAAATTATCAAGTCTGAGTAGGGCTGTCATCTTTGAGAAAGCAACCCATCTCAGGCCTGTTCATTATTGATGTCTCCCTTCTAAACAGTTCATAATTGTATATTATATTAAATCTGTGATATCATGTGGTCCTCCTTGTATATAATGGTAACAGTACCTAGCAATAATAAGGCTGCATTCTGAAAGAGAATGGATTCGGCTGTTGATAATACATAACATGTATGGAGATTGTGTTAGAAAATATTGACAGCAGCCCTGAGTTGAAAATGTTGAAATTCAATAAATCTGTATATAATGTATAAAATTAAATAAAAGGTAGTGTTTTTAGTTGGAATACTATGAGTATAGAGATATTCAAATCAGTGATATAACATGATTCTGATTTCTATCTAGGATATGTAAAGGACCGCAAAAAGACATCTGGAAGTTTATTATAGAAAATGTCCACTCTGCACAGTAAGTTACAGTGTATCAGTTGTAAATAGAAAATGTCCACTCTGCACAGTAAGTTATCAGTTGTCTTAATGAATAACCATTACAAAATGCTCAAAGAAACAAAATACTTTATACTTCATAGAAAATTAACCACAGCAGATATATCATAATGATATTATAAATAATTATTTTATCCCTTGACATTTTGAAGGAAAATAAACAGTTTATAATACTGCACATAATATATCAATGATGTTTGTTTTACAGAACTGTTAGAAAAGTGAAAGGCAATATTGCATTGTATCCTCTTCTGTGTTTAAATCATTATTACCATACTGCATTTATTGGAAGTAGAAGTCTTTATTTAAAAATATTGTATGATTTTTGAAACATTGAAATTAGGAAAGACCTCTACTGTATTTATTTGAAATAGAAGTATTTTTTAACATACATGTACTGTATGATTTTCTGAAATATTGAAATTAGGAAAGACCTTTATATAACATGGTATTTCATGTCATGTAGCTTTGTATAAATGTAATAAAAGTGTTAAACACAGAACTGTTAGACATCCTTAATGAAGAAAAAGAAAGGGGGCTAAACCAAAACAATACAGAGTCAAGTACAAGTCAGAGGAAAAACTGGATGAGCCAAGACAAAGTCTTCTAGACAGAAGAGTTCAACTTACAGGGGAGATCACTGCAGCACTGAAAGACATTTCTCACCTGGAGAATGACCTCTGTAGAATGGAGCATGAAATTCTGGACACCGGTCAGTATTTGTTTGGAGTCACACATAAATGTAAATTTATTTTCTAATCAGATGTTGAACTTCTGGTCTCGTCCCTTAATGACTCAGTCAGTCTTATTGAATGAAAATGTATGGGAAAAATTGAATTGAATCCTTCATTTCAACAGATAAGGATTGCCAAATGAAAACAGACTGGATTTCAAACACTAGGAGGAAGTGTGCTCTACTGAAGACATACTCCTGCCAGTGTGATAGGATGGCAAGGGAATTTGAAGAATACACAAATCAAATGACAAAAAAGATGAACACTATTACTAAAAGAGCCAAGTATGTTAAATGAATAACATTTTCCTATTTTGGTCTTGATTGGGTTAAGTTTTTCTTGTTCAAAAGTACTTGAAAATAGAACTTTCAAGATGAAAGATGCAATTATCCTCCCTCATTGCTTCAGTTTACAATATACTTGATAAATGAGAGGTGGAGAAAGATAAAATTTAAAAAAATGCCTTAATTTTACAGCTGCATATGACATGTCAGATGAACTTAATCTTTATATGCTAGGAAAACCACAGAAAATGAGGAATACTACTCCCGTAAGAAGAGCTCTACAGATGAGGATCAGAGTGGGGTATCCTCAGGTTTGGAAAGTAAATGTAGCGTGAGTATGAGGGTCAATGGATTAAACAATAAGTTACATGTGAATTCCTTTTATTAAACAATCTTCAATAGCACTACTGTTTAGCTGACTGGGACAAATTGAAACCTTATGTTATTCCCTCCTCCTTAACACTGTAAGGTAAAGTTTTTGGAGCAAGTCAATTTCCCAGGTGACTATGAACCCTACTTAGACCATAGTGCATCTCGAGATGCACACAGCCAGAACTGCTTCAAGTGCTGAAGATGCAAACTGCCAGAATTGCTTTAAATGCTGCATCTGACCTATATTTTCTGCATGATTTGCCAAGTTGTTGGAGCAGGTCTATGCCCAAGTTACTATGAGAACTTAATGGACCAAACTTGCGGTGAAATGTCTCTTGAGATACATACATATATACATGTACTAACCACCTTGCTTGAGATGCTGTATTGATGGGCAATAAGTTGTTTAATGTTAGTAAATAACTTTTGTGGAGGTGAGTTTTGTAATCTTTGACTGTCGTTGTGAATGAAGAAAAGATGCACACATGTACAGAAAAAAATCTTGGTTCTCAATACTGTATTTAGGGCAGGGCAATGTAAGAATTTTTTGTCTTCATTTACTTTTACAAAGGCATTAAATATATTTTTAGCATTGTTCTGAAAAGGATTAATAATCTTGCAAAACGGAGCATTGATATGAATGTTTCTAATGATTTATTAACATATTCAAATTAATTTTCTTAGAGAGATGTAAGAAAGACATGTGAATATGTTGGGAAATTCCTTCTTGGTGCTTTGCAAGGAGAATTTGGAACAGATAAAAATGTTTTGTAAGTATCAACATATACATACGTGTATATGAATCATAATAACAACAACTAATGACTTAAAATCTCTGCCTTTTATACATGTATTGAGAAAGAAAATTATTTCACTAATTGTGCTCTAAACATGATATCAGCAGTAAAATTGTATATAACAATAACCAGTAAAAATGGAGAACTGGGCCCCGTTTTCAAAAGAACTTACGACTAAGATAAAAATGTTATTACGCAAATTACTTTCCTTTCACATTACCGGTACTTTGAAAATGGTTTTAATCTTTTTGAAAAGAATTTAGAAAGATATTTTTATGCAAACATTTTTTAACAGAAACATAAGTTTTTAAGATATTACAATTAACTAAACTTTTTGGGCTTATTCGTAAGTTCTTTTGTAAAATGGGCCCCTGATATCTTTGGTAATTATTTTTACATGTATTTAGTCATCAGAAGAAGCAATTACTGTGGAAATACATGGAGGAAACATTTTCTGACCACTCTGTGCAGCAGATTTATAATGCCTTGGTTACCAATACCCAGAATGCAGCATTCAACATGAGAGACCAGGCTTCAAAAGTAGACATTAGAAAAGATGCTGAAAAACTAAGGTAGATTATGATGGTTGGAAATAATCAATATTAAAAAAAAAACAGAATATTTTTCTGCCAAAGAACCTGTATATTTTGAAAAAAGTACATGTAAATTCAATGTACCAATGCAAAGATCAGAGTGAAGTTGGTTAAAAAGGAGGAATAAATACATGTATGTATGGTGGATTAAGAGTATCAACTGTGTGATTTAATATTACATAAATTTCATGTTGCAGATTTAAGTATGAAAATTCTGGGGAGTTGACAGACCTTTCTAAATCCCCCTCATTGCTACAAAGTGTTCATCAGCTGCTGGAGGTATGGTGTCACAAGCTTCAATAATCATATTGTAGCTGGGTTGTTCACATAGCTAAGTAAATAATTATAAACTTCTGATGAGTGAAAAGGATACAGATGCAAAAAAATTCTATTAAAATAGGAAAATATATACAGATTGTAAAAAGAAAAGCATGATTTACGGATGGAAATTGAGTGCTTTAGATTCGTCATGAAAATGAAGCCAAATTCAGAAAACTGAATAAAGTGAAACATATGGATGAAATGATATTGAAATAAAGTTTTATAGTAACAGTGACACCTCAATCTAAATTGTGTACATGAATGTTCTTTATTTCTTCACAGGAAAACCGAATGTCTCAAGTTAAAAGATTCATAGAAACAGAAAAATATTTAAATAGTGCATGGAGAAATAATCACCAGCTAGAGGAAATGAACACAAAAATAGACAGCCATCTCAAGAAAATGTTCCGAAATTCACGAGATCTTAATCTTGCAAGGTTTGTTTAAGTTAAGATGTCAGAGCATATACAGTAGGCAGTGTTTCAGTATTTTTAATCTAAAGGTATCAACATATATAAATATATTGCACTGACACTTGATTTAAATATTTAACATTTTTTGTGTAATACATGTATAATTGTTTTTTCAAATGATCATGAAGTTATGAAGTTTAAAAAAAAATCTTATGAGCAGCATTATGCAATGTAAATAATATAAACGTATTTGATGTAATGGTAATCATATTTTAGCTCCCTGAACATTGATTCTTGCCTGCTACTTAAGTATAAGCTGCCATATGATTTAAACAAATACATATAAAAGCTTTGATGCAAATGTGCTAATTTATGATTATATTAATCAGTTGATGAGGAAGATTGTGCTAATTTTTGAGTGAGCTGATTTACGTGTACAGTATTTATTTACAGTAGGTTCAATTTTTAGCTCTTCTGAGCCAAAGGCTCAAAGAACTAATGCTATGGCCATTTGTGCGGTGTGCGTAAACTTTTTAGAATATGGGCCATAACTCAGAAACCCCTTGGCCAATTATTGTCAAATTTGTCACAGGGTATCCTTGGCCCAAGGGCACCCGTTTATACTTAAACTAGGGTTGTAACCCTAAAACAAGGGGAGATAATTAGGAAAATAGAAACAAAAGTACGGGTTGCTAAAAAATCTTCTCAAGAACCACGGGGCAGATTATCACCAAACTTACACGAAAGGATGAGGATAAGTTGTAGATTAAAATTTGCACGAGGATTTACCCTGAGGCAAAGGGCGTGGTCTCAAGGTCACTTCAAAGTTGACCAAAAATTACATTTTATTAAAATATTGATATTTTGCTTACTATAAGGACTAGGATCATCAAATCTTGTCAGTTGAAGCATCTAAGGACCTCATATCATGTTGACTCAAAAGTAGGTCACAGTGACCTACTTTTTAAATTTTGCGGCCATTCTTTTTCAAAATGATTTAGAGGCATATTTTGAACAATTTAAGGCCTATGATCATCAAACTTTGTCAGTTGATGTATCTTGGGTCCTTGGAGAACGTCCACTAAAAAGTAGGTCACCTTGACCTACTTTTTGAATTTTATGGCTAATCTTTTTCAAAACAATTAAGGTCAGTAATTTGAATACTGAGAGGTTTAGAATCATTGAATCTTGTAAGATGATGCATCTTGGGGCCATAAAACATATTTATTGAAAGTAGGTCACAGTGACCTACTTTTTGAACTTTGCAGGCATTCGATTTCAAAGCGTTTTAGAGGCATAATTTGGACATTTTAAGGCCTATGATTATAAAACTTTGTAAGTTGATGCATCTTGGATCTTTAAAAAAACATCAACTGAAAAGTAGGTCACCATGACCTACTTTTCAATTTATATGACTATAATTAAGTATTTCAGTTACTAATTGGTTTAGAATCATCAAACTTTGTCAGTTGATGCATCTTGGGTCTTTGAAGAAGGTCAACTGATAAGTAGGTCACCATGACCTACTTTTGAAAATTTATGGCTTTAATTAAATATTTCGGGTACTAATTGGCTTAGAGTCATCAAACTTTGTCAGTTGATGCATCTTGGGTCCTTGGAGTACAACAACTGAAAAGTAGGTCACCATGACCTACTTTTGAAAATGTATGGCTGTATTTAATATTTTCTGGTACTATTTGGCCTAGAATCATCAAAATTTGTCAGTTGATGCATCTTGGGTAATGGGAGTATGTTGACTGAAAAGAAGGTCACCGTGACCTTTTTTTCAATTTATATGACGAGAATCAAATATTTCAGGTACTAATTGGCTTAGAATCATCAAACTTTGTCAGTTGATGCATCTTGGGTCTTCGGAGAACGTCGACTGAAAAGTAGGTCACCCTGACCTACTTTTGAAATTTTATGGCTATATTTGATATTTTTGGGTTCTATTTGGCTTAGAATCATCAAAAATTTGTCAGTATATATATCTTGCGTCCTTGGAGTAGGTTGACTGAAAAGTAGGTCACCGTGACCTCCTTTTCAATTTATATGACTATTATTAAATATTTCAGGTACTTATTGGCTTAGAATCCTCAAACTTTGTCAGTTGATGCATCTTGGGTCCGCAGAGTTAGTCAACTGAAAAGGAGGTCACTGTGACCTTTTTTTTTTTAAAATTTTATGGCTTTATTTAAATATATCAGGTACTTATCTGTCAGTTGACGCATCTTGGGTCCTCAAAGTATGTCATCTGAAAAGTAGGTCACTGTGACCTACTTTTTAAATTTTATGGTTATGATTTCAAAAATATTTTAGGTACTTATTGGCTTAGAATCATCTTGGGTTCTCAGACTGTTTCATCTAATATGTAGTTCATGATGACCTACCTTTGGAATTTCAAGGCTTTATCTAAATATACAGGATACTTACAGGCTTCAAATAGAAGTGATAGGTTGTACAGTTTATCGGAAGAGCGATTCAAGGCCCTTGGGCCTCTTGTTAAAATATATGAATAAAAATGATACTATGTGAGCAAAGTTGCTTATAATTAAAGAGTCTTTTTTTTTCATGATTAAAGTTATCTTTAATTCTATGTTGACAGAAGTCTGGTAGATTTAGAGGTGGATCTAGCTGCAAACAGAGCGAAACTTCAATGTTTATCACAAGAGGCAACTCTTTTACGTGAAAATATTGCAGATGCATTGCGGGAAAAGGAAATTTTGTTTGTGAAATATCACAAAATACAAGATTTTAAAGAAATAGCGGTAAGAAAACTGATATAGATAATGGATTTCATTTCACAAATATTGTGCAGTTTTTGTCCACCCAGAGTCATAGCTGCTTGAGTGCTTGGTTTAATGTGCAATTCTACATCCAGACTAGACAGTCAAAGCAGATTCATTGATATGTAGTTGCAGTAATACTGGAATTAAGCTTTTTGTTACAGAACAAGAAGCAAGAATTGATCCAAGTCATTGTTAGACAAAACATGCATGCAAAATCTCGCCTAGAATCTCAAAGAGAAGAGGTAGGATATTCTAGTCCAAAAACTTGCAAACTTTTTGTCAAATAATGAAGTAAATAAAATTCAGAGGATATGATTAAGGTCACCTGAGCCAAAGGCTTATGTGAGGTTTCTGATCAAAGTTTATGTACTGTAAATAATTTTAAAAACCTTAGCTTTAAAGTTTGGGCATCAAACAGGGTTTTTTTTCATTCCTTCTTTGATCAGAATGATTGTGATGTAGCCCTTAGGCCTTCTGTAACTGTGATTTCATCAAATAACTTTTCTTAAAATTGGTTTTACATGATAACATTGTTAGCAATTGGCCACATTCTGTAAGCACAGGTTTTAGTATTGTTAAATTCTTTTTCAGAAACTGTTTAAGATTTACAAAAATGAGCATTTATCAATATAAAATGACTTCATTAAGATACTGAAGTACATAGAAAAGTCATCAGAAAGTCACCATATGGAGACAAAGCTTCTAAGAGATGATCTTCATGGATTTGTCAACAAAGAGGTGGAAACGTTTGCTACCCTGGACATTCCTCAGCTGCTGTTCTGTGATTCTTCAGACAGGTCAGTCAGAACAAGGACCCTGATTGGTTATCTTTATTTCCTTCCAGACCTCCATTGATTTTAAATTTTAATGAATCAAGCACTGTTTTAGATGTCAGTAATCTTGTAGATCTTTATAAATACTGTATATGTAGTGTATAGAATTGATGATGAAATGGAAATTAAGTTATTAATCATGCTTTTCAAAAAATTTATATTATTTTTCTCGCAAGGTAATGTAAAACTTGCAGTCAGTAGTCATGTAAGCTGGTATAATGTACAAGTACCTGTAGCTCTTTATTTTAAATTACTGTTGCCCTTTTCACAAAAAATCTTAAGTTTTTGCATAAGATTTTAACTTAAGAATCTCTTATGACAAATCTTAAGTGCGTTTCACGAACGCATTCGTAGCAGATTGAACTTAAGATTTTACTTACGACAGACTTCATCCCTAGCAACGACTTCAATATGCTATATAATCCTTAAATAAGTGGGTAAAAATAAAATTAAAACTTAGTTTTCAACATTTGTCAGCATAACAAACATTATTGACAACAAACATCGAATGCAATCGTTTGTGAAGCAGGGAAGTTAAAATCTGACGTCACAATCACAAGTCTGACGTAAAAGTAGGTCATATGAAAATCTTAAGTGAAACTTACATCGTAAATATTTTGTAGTGTATTTCATTTAATTTTTCAACAATGATTGTGAAAAAAATATAAAATATTATTGGAAGTTGCTTTTAAAAGTTCAATTAAAGGTGTATTTTGATTTTTGCGGTTTTATTTTTACAATAAAATCGGTTTTAAAATACTTAAGAGAGGGTTGGGGCTCTCGTAAAGTTACGACAGATTTAGCACTTACGACTTTCTTAATAATTTTTGTGAAAATGATTTTTATCATAAGTTTTAACTTAAGATAAAAATATGTCGTAAGATTTTTTGTGAAAAGATCCACTGAATTTTAATGAAGCTGAGTCTAATTTGAGTGTCTTTGTGCAGCTTTTTAATTTCATCCAGTCGTATGTGCGATGTAACACCTTTCCTGAGTATTGTGATTTTAATACAAAATTAACATTATCTGTAACATGTATGGGTCTGAAAATATGCTTTTACGACAATAAGAAGAAAAAAAAATGCTGAAATGGCTCCAACAACATCACTGTTTTCCGTTTCTGAAAGCAATGCATGATGCTGAAGAATGACACATGACTTGTTTGTGTATTCAAGACGTCCATGGACATTTTACTAAAAAATTTTGACAGAACATCAAAAGAAACATTCTAACAATCTAAACATTGTTATTTTTTACCAAAATAATTCATCTGCACCGATAATTCATCTGCACTGATATATATATATACTGCAATATGGCAATTTAGAGGTATTGGGCATAGAAAAAATAAACTTTGTAATAATTCCTAGACCAACCTAGAAGGTCAATTTTTTTTTTTGAAATTTCTTAATTTGGTGACATTTTACAATAACTTTCATGTACTTGACTGAAAAAGAAATCTCTTGGGTAGAAATACAAAAAATACGGAAAAAATTTGGTAATTTGGCGTTTTTCCTACAAATTCCCATAGGGTCCAATAGTAATACATGTATCTGACAGCTTTTGAGATGGCCCCCTAAGAAATCGGGATGGTAAACATTCAATTATTTAATCTTAAAACAATAAATATAATAGTTAAAATTAATTCAAGAAAGTTTATAAAAATATCTAGAGTAGAAATAATTAGACTCTGCCTCGTTAAAAAATTATTTAAACATTTTGCTTCTTTTATTGACTGAATACTGAATTTTTGATAATTGATCTTTACAGGGCATTAAAAATAGCAGTCAGTGATATGTCTATATACCAGACCAGTCCACTAACAGCCAGGGAATCTATTCATCACATTCTCCAGCATCTGGGATTTAGGCCTTATCAGGTTATTTTGTCAGTTAACATGAATTGCCTTTTTATGTGCATGAGATCACACCTCAGAAGACATTATTTTTGTTCTGTATGTGGCTCTGTTTCTTTGTTGACAAATTTAATCTCACTCATGACTCCAACAGTAAAAACACTGCATATCTAGCCTGATGCTAGCTTATGACCAGAGGATATGTTATGACCTTAAAGCAACAATTTTCAAACAAGGTCAAGGTTTGGATTTGAAGTGTGCAATACATGTTTAGTTTGTAACTTTGTTATATAGAAGAAATATTATAAGGTAACACTTGGCACAAAGTAGTCTTTGCTTGGGGGATTTGATAGGGCTGACCTAAAGTCATTTGAACAAGGTCATGGTCACAGGAATTGGATTTGTGAAATTTGTGTCAGGTCCATGACTCTGTGATAAAAAAAAATTTGAACCTAAAATTTGACAATGCTGCGTATGACCATAAAGTGTGACCAAACTGGACAAATTTGTCCCATTACCCTTGAGCCCCACTTATGGGCATTAGTGTTGCTCAAACACATCTTGTAGTTTCTATTTTATTCTTGTGCAAAATTCCTGTAAGAAAAGCTAAGGAACTAGAATCTCCTTCTCTATGGTAAATTTAGTAATCACTTATGATTAAATAGTACTCAATCTGAGTGATAAGGTTTACTTCTGAGTCTTCCAAAGCTGTTATCTGTTGTAATAATGAACTTTCTTACACTGATAATTCTCACTTTAACTGTACAGGCCCCTGAACTGTTGATATTGAGGTGCATTGAACTTAAAAGAAAGATTAATCAACTAGAACTGCAGTCCTCACCACTGAATGTGAAAGGACAGGATGGAGACAAAGTAAAGCAGATAGCAGGTACAGAGTCTATTTCAATCTTACAGATTTAGTGCTGATAGTAATGTAATATATAGTGGTAATGAGCCAATCTGATAAAAATCCTAGGATCTGCTTACATAGATCACTACACAAGGGATCTACATTTGTAACAACATTCATTTGAGTTTATCTCAATCCATTTGAGTTTATCTGAAATTAACATTATATGTACAGATCAACTTCGGTATATCTCGAACACTGATATCTCAAATACCATGGATATGTCAAAGCGAATCGGAAGTCCCAACCTCTTATTCTTCAAGTATTTAAACCCTTGATATCTCGAATACTGCAGTGGCAGCTGTTGGTTGACCAAATGCATTCAAAGAGTCACACCAATTATATAAAAAACAATGCACTTATTGGCTAAATGAATTGGATAAAGTCAATTGGGATGTTGTTAGATCCTCTGTGTTGTGTTCTGGAGTGGATCAAAGGATCTAATTTTTAATCAACTGGGTATATTTTAGTTTTATTCTTATTGCTTGATCATGCTGATTTCACCACATAACAACTCAAGAACATCATATATATTGTAAAATCTTTATTTTCTATGCAAAAAATTACTTAATTGTACATGAGAGTGAAAGATTTTTGTTAAAATGATACTCTGAATAGATGCAGCTGTCATGTTGACTTTGCTCCTTTGGCTATTGTAAATTAGTAACCTGTCCTAAATTTGAATTTGTTCATGTTTTATTTTTTCGTTAAAATACAGATAAATTAGTATTTTATAAATGTTAGTAGTTTCTAATTTATCTACATGTGTATGTGTAGTGTGGACCATAACTTACTAATATACAGCTTTGAGTCAAAATGGAAACCCCCAATATAATACGTTTCAGAACTGTGTGAGAGAGTGAAGGAACAGGACAAAGCATTGCTGGAGAGGAGTCTTCCCATACTGCAACAGAGGCTTCACAGGACGGGGGCAGCCCTAACAGACTGTAACTCAGTGTCAGAAAGACTGCAAGAATGGTAGGCTGATTTCTGACATATACAGGAATATGTATGTGTAGAAACAATTTGGGATCATAATACTGTATACAGGGATATTTTTGCCCCATGTTATTTTCACCCTTTCACACTTGCAAACAGTTTTTTTTAACTCGCCTACAGTTCTGTTTGAGAAATTATACTGTGTTCTTTGAATTCACCCCATTTTAAATTCGCCCACCTGTGAGTAGGGCAAAAGGGGCAAAAATAAAACTGGGCCAAAAATTTTCCTGTATACAGTATACATTTATTGACTGGGTTCAAGGCAACTTGCATTTTGGTGGACCCTAGAACCAAACTGTTTGCCTGAGGCTGTTGGGCCGAAGCCAAACAGGTTCGAGGGGTCACCAAAATGCATTTTGACTGAGAACTCAGTCATAGCTTTTGTTATACCCTTTATTTTCTGACATACATGTATACTGTGCAGACTTCCATGGGGCAATCTTTAAGAAAATGTTTGTTTGCCCTCTCCCAACAAACTGGCAACTTAAAACTTAGTAACACTCATTAAATTCATTTAACAAATTAGGTGTATGACAGAATGTTGCCTTTTTTTGCTTTATTTGATGATTATTTGATAATTTATAATACTGATGACGGCCGAACTCCAGAAATTCATTTAACAAATCTCCTAATTTAAATTAGGTGGGAACAGCCAGCTCAATACACAGTGCCTTGGGTAAAGGTGGACCAGAATACACTCCAACAGTGGCAAAATAGGTGGACTGTTCTCTCTACCAAGTACAGACAACTGCTGCTGCAAAAAGCTTAATCAGCTGTGAATTATCTGCAATAGAACTTCCAGATTTCTCGTTGGTGACTAACTTTTGAATGCTAGACATCTCTTCATACAGGAAAAGTTTTCATGTCATTTGTTGCTTTTCAGAAAATAAAGAAACAAAAACTGATTTCACTCAGATTTCTTAACAGAATATATTTTTTTTTTATGATGCTTTATTGTCGGGGATATTAATTTCGGTCTGTTTGTCCATCTGTATTTCTGTCTGTCTATATCACTTTCATTTCCATGCGATATCTCGAGAAGCCTTTGAGCTTTCGCAATGAAATTTTACATAACTACTCCCTATGGCCTAAAGGAAAACCCTATTGATTTTGAGGTCAAAGGTCAATGTAATAAATATAATCTTTTAACACTTTTCGTTTCCGTGCGATATCTCGAGAAGCCTTTGAGCTTTTGCAATGAAATTTTACATAACTCCCTGTGGCCCAAGGAAGACCCCTTTTGATTTTGAGGTCAAAAGGTCAAAGGTCAAGGTTGTAAATCCATACATTCCTCCTGTGTGTAACACTTTCGTTTCTGGGCGATATCTCAAGAGGCTTTTGGGCTTTTGTAATGAAATTTTATACCATAACTCCCTATGGCCTCTCTCGCCCCTCCCAAAGTGTTCCGCACCGTTTTTTTTTATTGTATTAAAAGTCGCCTGGCACTATTTTTAGCACAGGAGTATGTGGAGAGTTATTAGATATAATACAGGTTGTCGGCAGACTTTATATTCTAATTACATTTATTAGAACTGTTTAGTAAAGGCTAAATTAGACACCATATGTGTTGTAATATTTTGACAATATCGAACCTGAATATAAACAAGTATATGTGACCTAATGTTTGCATTTAATTTGCATTACAAGCTAATTCAGAGAATTTGTGTCCCACGCTTCTATACTTATATAAATTAATAAATTTTGCAAATAAACTCCGAAACGGGAGCACCAGAGTTCTTACTTACTCCTCTAACAATACACTATATACAAGCTGATGTCCGTAAACTATATTGAGATTTCACTCCCATAGTAAGTATCGTACATAAAATTAAAAGTCTACTTTCATTTTCTATAAACAGCCATGAAATAGCAAAAACGTGAGTACGGTGGCGTTTCCGGTTGGCGGATCTAAGTTACTGGCAATTTTTAATGAAACTGATAACAAGCAATAGTTTATTCATTTCATAAAACGTCATCACTGAATTATTCAATCAAAACTTGATTTAAATGATGTAAAAGAAATAAGTTGTGATAACCGAGTAAAAAGGGAAATGTGCGAATTATTTTCGTCATTCACCGATCTTAATATTGACGGAAGCTTCTAGAACATCAGATATAGCATCGAGCCCGATGTTAAAAAGAAAAAACGAGGCGATAATAGCTGTATGAACATAAAAAAATGCTTTGTGTGAATGGTCATTGAAGAAAATGGTAAACCATTGATAACATTATAAGTTGTTATATATCGAAAGGCTATTACATATACATGTATGTAATAGGTTTTCCTAATAAATTTATTGGTAAAATTAGTATATTTCCTTGCTGACTGAGAGCATCGTGGCAACGAACCCGAAGAACAATTTGTACTGCGTAATAAAGTTGCTTACATGAAAAGAGAAAATTAATGAATAAGGTATTGTTCAAATACAATTAAAGCTGTAAAATTCTGTGCTTTAATACATTTCAGTTTTTTTCTGAATACAGTATCAAATACTTGGCCTATTCACAGGGCGTTAAAAGCTCATTTTTACACATGTACTAGGGTCTTAGTTTATAAATATGTATGTACCTTATTGATTTGTAAAAAGAAAGTAAAGTACATTTTTTACATATCAATAAGGTACACACATATTTATAAACCAAGACCCAAGTGCCAGTGAATTTTTACTCCCTCCTCCCAAAAACAAAAATCATTTTATCAGTAAAATGTGCATATTCGCTGCTTTTATCCTTGACGGAAATGAAATAAAAAGCATCTGAAAAGTTTTTACAAAAAGGGGGGAGGGGGAGGGTGGAGACTGACGTACATCTACTTCATGCGGGATTTTGTACAAAGTATTTCTTCCTGCTATAAGCCTGTAGGCCGTCAGTAGAAACTATACAATATATTTTCTGTTGGTAGTGGTGTAAATTCAATTCCCCGCGCTTGCACGGGATTTCATCTAGTAGGGAAAAAAAGAAGAGCATGCGCAGATCTTGGGGGGGGGGGGGATCGGATCCCCCTGGATTTGCAGAATTATTAAATGTATACGTGTATATTGAAGCAAATTAAAAAGCCAATATGGATATAAAGATTTGATTGCTCATTCTTTAATATGTGTATAGAAGATTCTTTTTATGTGATATAGAATATTTATCACACTGTAATAATGATTTTATGAGATGTTTGTACACGCCAGACGTCGTAACTTTTCATTTCGTATGTTGAATACTATCATTTAGTAAATCAAAAAAAAAAACAAAAAAAAAACAACAAAAAAAACCAAAAAAAAAAAAAAAAAACGGGATCGTCTGGGATTTGAACCCGGGACTTCTAATTGTCAAGCAAGAATCATACCCTTAGACCAAAGACGCACTTGATTATACATCAAATTAAATGCAAACATTAGCTCACATATAATGTTTATATACACGTTCGATTTTGTCAAAATTTTACACAATACATGGTGTCTAATTTAACCTTTACTAAACAGTTCTTAGATGTAATTAGAATATAAGGTCCGCGGACAACCTGTATTATATGTATTAACTCTCCACATGCTCCTGTGCTAAATATAGTGCCAAGCGACTTTTAATACAATAAAAAAAAAAACGGGGCAGGACACTTTGAGAGGGGTGAGAGAGGCCATAGGGAGTTATGGCATAAAATTTCATTGCAAAGCTCAAAAGCTTCTTGAGATATCGCCCGGAAACGAAAGTGTTACGCACAGACAGAATGTATGATTTTACGACCTTGAACTTTGACCTTTTGACCTCAAAATCAATTATAGGGGTCTTCCTTAGGCCACAGGGAGTTGTTGTGTAAAATTTCATTGCAAAAGCTCAAAGGGTTCTCGAGATATCGCGCAGAAACGAAAGTGTTGCAGACAGACAGAAATACAGACGGACGGACAGACAGACCGAAATGAATATTCCCCCCCCCCCCACGTGGCGGACAATAAGCAATCGCCTCATTGGTCCAGGGGCACAAGTCTTGCTTAGCATATGGGAAGTCCCGGGTTCAAATCCCAGACTATCCGGTTTTTTTTTTTTTGAAATTTTTTTTGATTAAATGATAATATTCAACATATGAAATGAAGAAGTTATGACGTCTGGCGTGTACAAACTTCTCAAAAATCATTATTACAGTGTGATAAATATTTAATATAAAAAGAATCTTCTGTACACATATTAAAGAATAAGCAATCAAATCTATAATTATATCCATATTGGCATTTTTGCTTCACTGTACATTTAATAATTCTGCAAATCCAAGGGGGGGGGGTCTGACCCCCCCCCCCCTTAGATCTGAACATGCTCTTCCTTTTTCCTTAAGCAGGGGACACAAATTCTCTGAATTAGCTGTCTTTTTTTTTAAAGTACAAAATACACTACAGAAAAGAAAATGAACAGTGAATAAAAAGTGGGAAAAAAGTGAACAATTTCACAAAAGAAAAAAAATGTTGATTTGTCCTCAGACTGGAGGAACATCACATACAGCTATGATTATTATCAATACCACTGTTACTATTAAATTTATGATATTGAACAAATAAAAGAAGAAAGTGTCCAGAAAAGCAGAAACTTCTTTACACTGGAATGGAAAATGCACTTCTGTGTGAACTGCTGGAGTTTGTGAGCGATGTCTCATCATACGCTTCAGTGATTTTCTTCCTTCATTGGTTTCTTGTAATTCTGTTTTGTCATCTACGGAATCAAGTTGGTGTAACTTTGTGTCTTCCACCTTCTTGCTTTTGCAATTAATTTTGAGAAGCACAGTGAATGTGAAACATTGAAGCCATTTTGGTACGTCTGTTTGATCTGTGTTGAGATAGAGGCGAAGGTTTAACACTGTGATGAATATACCCAGGGCGGCCATCATCAGTATTATGGATTTGTAAATTCCTGTTCAAAGAAGAACAAAATTTGCACATTATATTCAAAGAGTAAATTTATAAAGTACAATGCAGTTATGTGAATGATTTGCAATTTTTAGATCACCTGAGGTGATGTACTTCTATCGGTTTTTGTCCGTTGTCATAATTTATGTGTTGCCAATCATGCCTCAATTAAGATTTTAACAATTTCAGCTTCCTGCAATGTCTGAGCAAATTTTGATAGCATCTTTGGAGAAATGGGAACAGAACTTGCAAATATAATGATCTCTACCTCCCTGGGACCTGAGGTTTAAGGCCAAAACCATCAAAATTAATCATTGTTAATGTGATCTTCAAAATTTTATTTCTTGACATCAAACACTTGAACTGTGCCATAATTATAATCAGCAATGAGTCCTTTACCAAAACTTTGAAATTTACATCTCCTGGGTTCAGGAGTTCAGACTCAAGTGTGGGGACTAGGTGGTAAATACTATAGTATTGAAAATGTAGAATATATTATAAAGTCTACTTTGTTTTCATGGACAGCATACGAACTCTTTGTACGATTTTAACAAGTACTCGGTTCCTTTTACCAAAATTGTGAAATTCATGGCATTCTAGGCGTTGTTCAGGCTCTATGGTGGGGCTTAGTTGATCATGTATTAAAACGAGACCCAAGGGCCTTAATGATCACCTGAGTATAATGTAATGATCTATAGATTAAAACAAAATAAGCTGATAAAGCTATGTTGCCCAAAAGCAAGAGAAACAGGATGATCAGGGATCAGCAAAATTTTAATTTAGTACTCAGCAACAAATCTTAAAGTTGATCTGTTTATTTGCCTTACTTCCCCCATTTGTCAATATCCTCATGCAGACAAAACAATAGTTCTAGAGCACTGTTAACTAACACATATCATTCCCCCTCACACTGGCCTCTCTTAGTCTATAAAGATTATTTATTGTACAAAGATATAGTATTTTTGTCCCATTTTCATTAATCTATTATTTAAAAGTTTACCTGACCATTAAAAAACTATGAAAGTACTTTTGTATTACAATATGTAAATATCATAAAATTTCTTGTACAATTCTGTTATTCAATTGACCTTACAAATTACATTATTTACAGTGATTAGCTATATTATAGGTGAATAGCAAAGGGAATAACTTCTTTCAGTAGAAATTAATAAATTGAGTAAAGGGTACAGAATTTCAAAACCTGGTAAAAACACCCCTTCTTATTACTACTTTATGTACACTATTTGCCTCCTAGATGCCCAGGAGCAGAGATGCCCGGGAGCAGAGAAGAAGATTTTCAAGGAAATAATCATTTTCACTATAGATTCAATATAGCTTTACCCTAATACCAAAGCCCCTGACCCAGGGGCCAAGATATTCACAATTTAGGATGAAGCACTCTTGCTCAACATAACCATGCATTTAGTACGTTTCCTTATTATCAATGGCCAAAGAAGAAGATTTTCAAAGAAATAATGCATTTCTACTACATATTCAAACAAAAGGCCCAAATGCCTTAACGGTCACCTGAGTATAACAATTTAGAGGATCCATAAGCTGATAAATGAAGCTTTGTTGCCCCAAACCAAAAAAAAGTATGATAAGAATCAACAAAATAATTGGTCTAGTATCTATCTGTCCCCCATTTATCACTATTACCATGCAGACTAACAAAACATCTATTTTTTAACCCCATATTATCACCTTCCACATTGGCCTCTCTTGGCCTTTGAAGAACATTTAAAAAGATAAGTTATTTTTGTCTCATTTTTATTCATCTATTATTTCCATGTCTACCTGATCATTAAAACTAGGAAAGTAAATGTTATAATTGCATAATTCTCTTATTCTATTAACCTTTCAAATACATTATTTACAGTGATTAATTATCAAAGGTGAATGGCAAAGAGGAATAACTTTGCTCCCTAGAAAAAAGAAATAATAGAGCCCTGGCCAGGACCAGAACACTTGACTAAATGGTCCAGATGTTCAAAATTCTGGTAAAAATACCCTAAAAAACTTTTAATCTGGCTGCCTCCAATTTGCCCAGGAGCAGAGAAGATTTTCAAAGAAATAATGCATTTTCACTACAGATTTAACACAGCCCTACCCTAACACCAGAACCCATTACCCAGGGTCATGAAATTTACAAATTTGGAAGAGATACCCTCATCATCATAACTATGCAATTAGTTGAAGATTTTCAAAGAATTCACACATTTTCACTATGTTATCAATAGACCCCCCCTTTCGGAGAAACACCCTGGGACCACAAGTTTTAAAATTTTTGTAAAAGCAACCCTGCTCATCATAACTATACACTTGTTTCTTTGCTTTATAACCAGGAATAGAAAAAAAATATTTTGAGAGTAATTATGCATTTTCATTATATAATCAATAGAGCCCCCCCTCCCCCTTCACCAAAACCCCTGACCCTGGGGTCATAAATTTCACAATTTTGGAAGAGGCATTCTTGCTAATCATAACCATGCACTTCCTTTGTTTAAATAATACCCAGGAGCAGAGAAGATTTTTCAAAGAATTTATGCATTTTCATTATATAATCAATAGAGCCCCGCCCTAACACCAGAACCCCTCACCCTGGGGCCATGAGATTTACAGTTTTGGAAGAGGCACTCTTGCTCATCATAACAATGTACTTAGTTAGTTTGTTTCATACCAAGTAGCAGGGAAGAAGATTTTTCAATGAACTAATATATTTTCACTATATAATTAACAGAGGCCCGCCCTAACACCAGAACCACAGACCCTGGGGCCATGAAATTCACAGTTTTGAAAAAGACTCTCTTGGTCATCAGAACATTGTACTTAGTTAATCTGTTTCGTACCCAGGAGCAGAGAAAAAGATTTTCAAAGATTAATATATTTTCACTATATAATCAGTAGAGCCTCACCCTAACACCAGAACCACTGACCCTGGGTCCATGAAATTCACAATTTTGGAAGAGACCCTATCACTTATCATAACAGTGTACTTAGTTTGTTTCATACCCAGGAGCAGAGTAGAAGATTTTCAAAGAATAACTATATTTTCGCTATTAATCAATAGAGCCCCATCCTAACATCAGAACCCCTAACGCAGGGGCCATGAAAATTATAATTTTGGAAGAGGCAGCCTTGTTCAAAATAACTATGTACATTGTTAGTTTTGTTACTCTGCTCCGGGGTCATGAAGTACACAATTTTGGAAGAGGCACCCTTCCTCATCATAACTATGCATTTAGTTTGTTTGCTTAGTACCCAGGAGCAGAGGGGAAGATTTTCAAAGAATACATACATTTCTACTACTATATATCAGGTATTTTCTGAGGTTGTCCAATTTTTGCGGAATTGTGGGACAAATCCAAACAAATTACAATCGCAAAATATTTCTTCCATTTTAATTCAGATATTTCATATACAAGTCTGATAAGTAGTGCGTATGTCAGTCAACCTGGTTTAATGTTATTTCATAACTTCTTACTCTGTATTCTGAAAATAAGAATTAAGCTTATGAATGTATGAAATAGAAAGGTTTTGAAAAATAGTTTACTAAGACTAAATACAAGATAGTACAGCTTAGTAACAGTTCTCATGCACCTTTGATCAATATGCCTTTAAATGAATTTATAAAACGTAAACATGGCAGTTTACACTTGTTCCTTAGAATTTGGCGTTCATATCCCGTAGAACGCAGAAAATAATTTGCTACCTTTCATGGATCAAATCGCAGAAATTCCCAACTGCAGAAAGTACCTGTTATTGGTATACTGAGTATATAACCTTACACTCATTAGAGGTTATTACAGCCCTAACACCAGAACCCCTGACCCTGGGGCCATGAAATTCACAATTTTGGAAGAGATACCCTTCCTCATGATAACTATGCATTTAGTTTGTTTGCTTAGTACCCACGAGCAGATGAGAAGATTTTTAATGAATTAAGGTTTGACGACACGTCTCCAGAAGCAGAGAAGAAGATTTTTCATGAACTAATGCATTTTTACTTTATAATCATTTGAGCCCTGCCGTTACACCAGAACCCCTGACCCAGGGGCCATGAAATTCACAATTTTAGTAGAGGGCTCAATGCTTATTACAATCATGCCAACAGTTAGACTGCTTGATGTTGAGGAGTAAAGAATATTTTAAAAGATTGCATTAATTTTAGTGGTTTTGGCACCGCCCTTATGCCCCAGGGAGGCAGGGACCATGAAATTCACATTTTTTTAAATTCCCATTCACCCATAGATGCTTTTTGTCAAATTCGTTGAATTGGTTGAGTGGTTTCATAGAAGAAGTTGAAAATGTTCAAATGTTAAAGCATGACGGACGAAAACAGATAGCAATAGGTCACCTGAGTTTATTCAGGTGACCTTAAAAAAAGTACATCTTTGAAAGTTTCCTTCACTCTTGAACATTATTCAGTCAACCTATTTCCATTATTATGATAAACACTAAGCCCTCTACCAAATTGAGAAATTCATGGTCGACTGATCTGTGGTTCAGGCTTCAGAGTGGGTCTCAATTAATGATTATATATTGGAAAATCCATTACATTTCTTTACTTATGGACATCTAGTTGACAAATTGTTTTACATGATAATGATTACTAGTAACTCTTATCCCTTTCCAAATTTTGTGGCCTCTGGCCCATGGTTCATGTCCAGGATGGTGTGAAGTTGGTCATATCTTGAAATTATTTCAAAGTAGCATCATTGAAAATCTTAATTTATTCATGGACATCCAATTGGCAATTTGTTTGCGTGATTATTATGAGCAGCTAGCCTTCTACAAAGAGTATGAAATTCATGTCCACTGGGACCAGGAGTTTGGCCTCAGAGTGGGCGTAAGTTGGTCATATATTTAAATTCATTATTCAGTTGGTCATATATTTAAATTCGTTATTCACTGTACATTATCTTCTTTAATACTCCTGAACATCTATAAGACAAGCTACAATTAATATGCTAATGATTATAGTGTCCTCATCAAAATGTAAAACCAGAGTTCCAGTTCCGGATAGGGCCCAAAAGTGGGGTAAAAGATAGGGTCCGGAGTCCGCATACTAGTATAGCTCTCTCCTACAGAATGGGAGAGGATCGTAGATTTTGACCGTGGTTTGCGACGATGAAAAGTGACCAAAGCTTGAGAAATTAATGATACTCAGGGGGCCTTTAAGGCCAAGAGGCCTGTGTTTTAAATTGCAAGCAGTCCAAGTCTGAAAAAAATGAATTCTAGAGAATATTTTAAACTCATTTTAAAAAGATATATAAAGATCTGAAGATTTTGTTACGATATAGGATGAAATGAAAGGAATTTAAAGAATTTACCTATGATAGGAGTATGTTTTGAAGCAGCGGGCATGCTTTCTCCTACGAGCATTAGTAACACTACCAGAGCTAGAAGGACTGTCAGAGTATAGGAAATCTTTTCTCCAGAATCCACTGGCAAGAGGAAACTTAGGTTTGTGAGCAAAGAAATAAGTATTACTGGGTATACAATGTTCGCCAGGTAATACCCTGGGCGCCGCTTGAAAATGATCTGGAACTCCAGCTGGGAAAATTTTTCCTCATTTTCTTCCAAAATCCGCTCCTCAACTTGCGATGAGTATAAGATCCACTCTCCGTTTTCGTTGAAATCCTGCGAATTGACCGTGTTTCTAGATTTGTTTAGGATCATTACCTCTGTTGTGAAGGCAAAGCTAGTGACTTCAATCTTGCACATTTGGTAGTCGAATGGATAATAGGCGATATCAATATCGCAATGGGTGACAAAAAGTCCTGGAGGGTCCCAACGAACCTCGTCTGTATTCTTTACTTTAAAAAATAAATGATCGTGACCAATTGGGTCCATCCCTCCAACTCTGAAAAATACATTGTTCAATACAGATAAAACTGGGTTTTATGTATTAAGCACATTATATCAAATTGTTGGCAGAGTCTGATGAGTTTCCTCGTCGAATATGCCATTAAATTGTGCTTGGGCAGTTCAAGCATTAATTAAGACAGCCTTTAATACAATAGAAAAAATAGAAAAAATTATATATATATATATATATATATATATATATATATATATATATATATATATATATATATATATATATATATATATATATATATATATATAGTTGTTATATATATTATAGTTACGAGTTGTCAATGATAAGTTCTGGTCGCCATATTTTGTCCTGTTTAGTGTAGATGTATTCTATGTCGCCGTATGACGCCTTTGTCCATACCAGGCGAGGATCTTTCCATTTCTACAAGTAACAGATCTCATTAAAATTCATCATCATTTGCACAGTCTCGTGAATTCAGAGACAAAGATTTAGAAAAAGCAAGTCACTCAGGTGACCTATTACTATCTGTCGTCGTGCCTCGTCCGTTAAGTTACGAGCTTTTTAGCATCTTCTTTGGAAATACCTGAGCCAGTTTTAGTTATAATTAATATTTTAAAAGGTGAATTTCATAATGTCTTCGTTCCTCGGGTCTGAGGGGTGTGACCAAAATCAATCTTTAGCCCTGGATATCAAACCAAACAGTCAGTCAGTTGGCATGATTTTGATAAAGCAAGGAGCACTTTATCAAATGACAAAGGTGATATAACAAACGGTGATCGATCTAAAAAAATCCCACAAACAATTCAAATCTGTAAACAGTGCATAAATTCCAGAATTGGAATCAGGTGCCCCGGAGGAGTAAGCATACCCTGTTGACTGGTCACACCCTCCGTGAGCCCTATTTAATGATCAGTTTGACGGAATATTTTGTAGTATTAATGACCTAACAATTGGTATGAAAAACATGTATGTCAGGCAACATTCGACCCAATGCTAGGCTATATTTGCTAACAACGTCATTATTACGACAATCGAATTCACGAAATGCTGATTTTAAACGTGTTTGTTGAAATCACTGTAACATCAACTTATTTGTTAGTAGCCAACCTGGTTTAAAAATTGATCATACTCAGAGCAAGCTCTTGAGTATTGAATAAATTGGAATAAAATATTCAATTCAATATATGTAAAATCAATTATATAATCAATAGAGCCCTCCTTCCCGCAGAACCCCTGCCACAAATTTCACAATTTTGGAAGAGGCACCCTAATCATCATAACCATACACTTCGTCTATCTGCTTTAGATACAAAGTGAAAAAAGAATTTTTTTAAAAAAGATTCATGCATTTTCACAATATGTACTCCAGAATCTCTTACCCTGGGGCCACGAATTTCACAAAATTGGTAAAGGGCTCAATGCTTATTAAAATCATGCAAACAGATTGACTGCTTGATGTCCTGGAGTAAGAAAGTAGATTTTTAAAAATTGCACTCATTTTAATGGTTTTGGGCCCATCTCTAAGGCCCCAGGAGGCATGGACCATGAAATTCACACTTCACTCATAGATGTTCTATGTAAAAATTGGTTGAAATTGGTTCAGCGGTTTAAGAGAAGCTGAAAATAAATATTAACGCACGACGCACGTCGCACGACGACGGACGAAAACGGATAGCAATAGAGTGTCTAAGGTCTCAAACATTTCCTATCTGTGTGGATCAATTAAGGTTTTTAGCACTGAGACCTGAACAAAGGCTCAAGAAGCTTTTAAGCTCAAATTAAGTGTACCTGGCATCCATCTGTCTATCCGTCTGTTGTGTGTCATCTGTAAACTTACACATATTTTCAACTTTTTCTCCTAAACCACAAGGCCAATTTCAACCAAACTTGCAACAAAGCATCCTTGATCGAGTGGAGGGAAGTCAAGTTTATACAACTGAAGAACCACGCCCTTCTTATACAAGAAAATATTATATAAAAGATAATTTGGTACGGTACCGGTCATCTAAATATTCTCAGGAATGATTGGGCCAGAAAAATGTGCAAACATCCTCAGTAGTGCGGATTCAACTTTGTTTAAAACCCCAAGGATGATAGGACCAAAAAAAGGAATCCTCTTCTGAATAGCAGAAGGGCCAAGTCGAGTCAGGTGAGTGATGTGGCCCATGACCTCTTGTCTTACCTCGGGAGACCCTCTCTTCCAAGGAGTAGTCCTTTTCCATAACTCACAAGACCAAAGTTTTATCACTGAAATCGTGGCAATCAGCTGAATGTTGTCAATTTAAAAACAATACCATAATAATCATATGTTTACTTAATATATTCATGTATTTAGTAGTCAATAATGCCCCCCCCCCTTTCTTCATTCCTTTCAGATTATTATATATGTTTCGTACGAGAGGATTTAGATAGATTGGTAGACATGTAATATACGTACGACCGTCATCCATCCAGAAGTTGACATGGTCTGACTTTTCATGTCCTATAAAATGAACATGAAATTGCATTCGGATAATTCTATATATTATCATAATGAGCATACAAATATCATTATGATACATTGTAGCTTGTATTTTTAGAATGTGAAAAAGATATGAAAATTAACTCGATAAAAATGTTTGATGAAGTTACCAGATCATTAAGAGAAAAGAGGACAAATTCGATACTGATATTAGTGACGTCAGAGGGTCTCACGTGATTGTTGTAAGAGATACCAAGAACATCAGCGTGAATGCTTGTGGCAAGTGTTGTTGTAAACGCGCCTGACGAACCTACAAACATTTTCAAAGATATAACATTGCATAACGTGAAATTAAAGTAATTTTACAAAGGAAAATATATATTTTTATTTACAATCAATTTGAATTAAATTGATTGGCATCATGATAAATAATTTTAAGGACCTCTCATATGCATTTATGAGTTTGAGCATACCTACCTTCGAAAGCGCAGTGAATGATGATCGACAGAAATACACCCTTCATCCTGAACAAGATCTACAAAATTGTCAAATTCAAGTCAACGATTTACGCGGAGAAACAATCCCACCGGACAAACCAAGGGATTTACCCCAAGATTTCAACAATGATGTTTTCTACATAACTCACTGACAATATGTCAATCTGGGAGACACAGGTTCTAAATAAGAATTCATGCATATGATTAGGTAGACCTTTTGACTAGACTGAAGCTAGCAGCCAATAACAGCAGCCACTAAGCCCGTAGAAGTTTTTGCAAGCTTAAGGATGTTCATATTACAAGAAGAAAGGACATACATGTACATGTATTCATGAAGTGTACTCAACTGAAACTGAAAAAAAATCTATACAACTAATATAGCCAGGTATAGTTGTCATTAATTTCATTATGCATTTTAAAGATTATTCATAAAGAAAAAACTGTCAGATTTGGTTAAACTTTTAAATCTCTGGATCAGAGAATAAAAGGAGCTTTATTAAAGGCATTTTAAAGATTACATAAAGAAAAACTCTGTCAGATTGGTTATGCTTTTAAATCTCGATCAGTGAATTAAAGGAACCATCCCTCAAAGTCACTTATTAAAATATCGCATATACATTGAATGAATAGATCCATGTGCATTTTTTACACGGTGTTATTAAAATTTTTTAAACATATTTTTTTAAGAATACTAATTATCTAAATGTACGAGAGCTGTTCGGAAAGTTAGCAGACTTCTGTCATAATTGTTTTTACTTGGAGTCATATGATACCCGGTATCCAAATTTGGAAGAAAATTTTTAACAATAAATCCGAATGGTTTGAGTTTACATATCAAATATATCATGATTTATTTCAAACTTATTCAAAATCTAAAACTGCCAAAATGGGATCAGGGATCATGGTACTGTCATGTAGTAAATTTTGAATTTACCGGGTGGCAGTAAAACCCGGTAAATTCAAAATTTACAACATGACAGTACAGGTCAAAATTTATTAATTAACAAATTGTGTATTCGATAATATCTTTATTCATATCTCTGTAAATTGAAGCAAAAAGTGAAAAACATGCATCTAGACTTCAAACTTGATTTGTCCTAATAAAAAAAACAAAAACAAAAAAAACAGCGTGAATGTATGGATTTTAGTTTCTCTATTTACACGTATGTTGAATTTTTAGAGAAAAAAATCTGAAATAAATTATTCTGTACATTTATCAACATAGATAATATATATAGCTAATTCTCCGAATTCAAATTCCAAGAGAGCTTAAACTGATGCTGCATTTGGACTTAAGTTTTAGAGCCATTTTCATATATAGCATACGAGGGGTGACTAAAAAGTTCGCGAACTAATTGAATTACATTTGTACTTCCATAAAAGAAATGAAATTAGGTTTCAGTGTTCATTATTTTTTAAAGTAGTCCTCTCTTATTTTAATGCACATCTGCCACCGTTCTGCCCATTCGCGAATCACGTGATTCACTCGGTCACGTGACATGCTCCGTGACGTTCTATCACAGAAGCTAAGAGATTTTTCCGAGTCATATTTCTTACCATGCAAGTTTCAGAAATGGCCAAATCTCGGAAATAGGATGGGTAGATAAGGATATCCTTTCTCAGAATGAGCATGGTGACCATTATAACCCGAGTCTTATGTCTTAGAAACATCGTTTATCCAATATGGATATATATAGTATGGGTGCCTTCTTTTTATCATATCTGATATGTTAAAAGACTAAAGTAAACGATATTTTAGTGAATTAATGATTACATTATTGTTAAGATATTCAACTATTTTTCTAACTGCTACTCGGCGATCTCTCATAACAAATTGCTCAACTAAAGGCACATCTCTTTCCCAACTTGCTTTCACTGGGCAACAGAACAAACATCATTTTTAACCATCCCCCTTCCTTCACTAAAACAATCAATCCCTTAAATGATTGAAATTCTGTCAAGTCTTTTGTTTTCATAAATCTTGTACAAATTATTATATGCTACTGCAAAGGAATTTCCAAGATATATATTAAACTTTACAGCCGTTCGTTGCTGGAGTACGACTGAGTGAACCATTTTTTGTCACAAAGCACCTACCTATTGACGTCATTTTCACATCGTGACGTCACAGTCATGGAGTAACAAATTAAATATCATCTGCTATTTAAAGAACATGTGTACGACTATATGTGTGTCAAATTTCGTTCTGAATTGTGGTTTTCTAAATATATAGATAGTTCGAGAACTTTTTGATCACCCCTCGTATTTCACCTTAATATCGCTAAGTATTTATATACATTTCCTGAAAATATATAAACGAAATTCAAACCGGACATTACTTTTCAAGCAAGACAACAATCAAAATGTTTTATTGCAATGATTTAAAAATACTTGATTGTTAAAAATACCAGCACACACGTTTACCGATTGTGTCATTTTCTGCAACATGTTTTAAAATAATGTTCTCCATCTGCGACAAATAAAACAAGAGGCCCAGGGGCCACAACGCTCACCTGAGCACTGTGGCTAGGAAAAAAGCAAAAATCAGTTTAGTATTGAAAAGCTTTTTCCTATGTATTCCTATGTAAAACTTTGATCGTCCACTGTGGCCCCACCCTACCCCTAGGGGGTCATGATTTGAACAAACTTGAATCTACACCACCTGAGGATGCTTTCACATAAATATGACCAATCATGGCTTTCCTGTTCTTGAGAAAATTTTTGAGATTTTTCTTATATACTCCTATGTTAAACTTTGATCATCAATTGTGGCCCCACCCTACCCCCGGGGGTCATGATTTGAACAAACTTGAATCTACACTACCTGAGGATGCTTCCATATAAATATGACCAATCATGGCTTTGCAGGTCTTGAGAAGAATAATTTTTTAAGATTTTTCCTATATACTGCTATGTTAAACTTTGATCGTCCACTGTGGCCCCACCCTACCCCCGGGGGGTCATGATTTGGACAAACTTGAATCTACATCACTGACAATGATTCTACATGAGTTTCATCTTTCTTGGCCCATAGGTTCTTGAGAAGAAGATTTTTTCAATGATGCCATTAATTTTTCACTATTTCGTAATTATCTCCCCTTGGAGGTGGGCGTGACCCTTCATTTGAACAAACTTGAATCCCCTTCACCCAAGGATACTTTGTGCCAAGTTTGATTGAAATTGTCCCAGTAGTTCTGGAGAAGAAGACTGAAATGTGAAAAGTTTACAACAACAACGACGACAGACAACGGACAAATTTTGATCAGAAAAGCTCACTTGAGCCTTCGGCTCAGGTGAGCTAAAAAAAAGTTATAAACCTAATGAACCAGACTAAAAAAGTAAAAGTTTACTAAACCTGTGGGCGAGATATTAGCCAGGCGCAAAGTTGTTAACAACGTCCTTATCAGTTTACATATTTCCCAGGTAAGACTGCACATCATATAAGTAGTGCAATCTATTATAACCTCCAACTCAAATTGCCCACATTATTAAATAATGAATATTTTATATGGGAACTAACAAAGTACTGGCATACGATTTATACATGTATATGGGAAGTATACAATTGTATAATTCTTACCCAATACCAACAAATATATTTATTCCTGAATTATAAATATAACCTGTTTGTATTTGAAAATGTTTGTTTGTTTGTTGTTTAACGTCCCTCTCGAGAATTTTTCACTCATATGGAGACGCCCCCACTTTCCGGTGAAGGGCTGCAAATTTTGACCTATACTTGGCACTTAGGGCCATTGAGCAGTGAGGGATCGTTTTAGTGCCAGCACCTACTGCGACACGGGACCTCTGTTTATACAGTCTCATCCGAAGGACCGGTCTCAACGTCCCGCAGTGAATTTGAACCCACGACGCAAGGATCAACTCTTTACACCGCGACTCTAGAGCAGAAGCTCTAACCACTGCGCCACGCGGGTGACAATGAAACGCTATAAAGATAAATTATATTTCCCAAATCTTACTATTAAAAATATTCATACAGTTGAATAACGGTGAATCAACAATGTAGCATCGTATAAATTAAGTCAAATACATTTTAGACCAAACACAATGGAACCAGAATTTCTCCCTTTAATTTCGCACGTTTTTGCACGTGTGGATCCTGTCGAATTCCATGGGAAGTGTTTTCGAGGAAGTGTTATAAGACTCTCTCCATACTATATTTTTTCGGGGAGAAAAGACACTGCAGTTTTTTTTTAATTCACAAATCAAGAAAAACTTAATAAGAATGCAAAACTTGTCTTCACTCACCCTCCTTAAAATCTTATATTTTCGAATAAATATTGCAAAAAGAAATAATTATATATGAAATAATTTATTTTATATAAGTATCAAGATAGCATTCGGACTTTACAAGACGTGGACACAAAGAAGATGGACGTACTTGACGTGCGATCTGCAGGAATCATGTGTACGAAACATTTATGGTTTAAATGTCCATGATTTGGTCGGCTTACCAGAAGTGGACAGACTTACCAAGTTACGCACATAGGAAAATGTTTAGATTTACATTGAAATAGCTTTCAAATTTGAAATATTTTAGTCCACTTATCTTCATAGTTACGATAACACAGTAGTACTTCACATAAATAAAAAACACCTAACAAGATAATAGGGTATGATATATGAATTGAAGTTTCAGTAAGTTTGAAAAATTGCTTTCGCTCCCCGTGCACTGAACCAAAATTTTTCTCTTTTAAAACTTACAAATCAGTAAATAAAATTCACTTGATTGTTTGTAAAAAAAAGAAAAATTAATTGCTCCATGCGAGGATCGAATCAAAAACTTCTCGAGTCCTAAGTGCGCTGGACTGGTAACGCATACTACTGAGCTATCAACGCTACACAAACACTCAGGAATTTTTTAAAAAAATGACAAAGACGCAACGCATTTACACATTGGTCTTTTTTTTTTTTTTTTGGAAAAAGTTCATTTTTAATAGTCTCTGGGTCTTCTCTCCATTTTTTACAAATGTTTGTTCGTTTCTTTGAATACAAATGCACACAAACGTCTTTTTAAAATCGTGGAAAGATGACCCAGAGATAACAAATTTTTAGAAAAACGTGTTTAAAAATGTAACATTTTGTACCAAATGACGCATCTAGCCATGTTTCTAGTTATTTTTAAGGAAATCAAAACACACTATTGGGAAAAGGTTTTCCTATCCTATTTCATAGGAACATGATACATGTACATCAAAAGAATGTTAAAATTTAATTTTACAGTTCAATAAAGTTTTCACTTTTCAAGTGCGCCCCGATTCCTGCCTAATGTCAATCAAAAGCGCCCATGTTCTTTTCCTAAAAACCGTTGTGCGAGAAGTTGCATCCTCCACAAAGTAAGCCTTCTCTGTGAGTTTTACTTTTCCTCCGTGATAAATTATTTCCTATAAATACTTTCACAATCATAATAAAGCACTTCTATTTTTATTATCCTTCTTACATCAAATTGACTGGTCGCCCGCGTGGCGCAGTGGTTAGAGCGTCTGCTCTAGAGTCGCGAAGTAAGGAGTTGATCCTTACGTCGCGGGTTCGAATCCCACTGTGGGACGTGGAGACCGGTCCTCCGGATGAGACCGTATAAACCAGGTCCCGTGTCGCAGTAGGTGCTGGCACGAAAAAGACCCCTCACTGCTCAATGGCCGTAAGTGCCGAGTATAGGACAAAATTTGCAGCTCTCCACCGGCAAGTGGTGGCGTCTCCGTGTGAGTGAAAGATTCTCGAGAGGGACGTTAAACAACAATCAATCAATCAAATTGACTGTGTCCCGGCAAAACAGCTGGTACACCTATTTCATCAATTACTGCTGGAGAAAGCTTAATCAGGTGTAAAAGAGGATTTTCTGCAGGAGCCTCTAGATTTAACTTATTTGACTTTGGAGTAACTACGTCTGAATTACAAATCTTTATAAGGTACAATTTTTCTTGTATTTTATTCCTTTTTCAGATTTCTCATTTATTCTTTTTTTGACTCAGCATTCATCTTAAATTAACTGAAGATACCATAATCTTGTTTTACAATATACAAAATAGAATAGAATTTCAACAGTGAGTATAGAAAATTAATAGCGATTCTCTGTAACCACTTACTCTTCTTTGCCACGCATGATCACCGATTTTGATGAAACTTTGCCCATTATTAAAACTTGACACCAGAAACATATATCAAATAAAATTTCGTTCCTATGTGTCTTGGTTGCCATGGTAACAGCCATAAAAGTTGGGAAAATTGAGATTTTTAGCTACTTTGAATCTTTATTAAGCCTTAATAAAGACTAAGAAAAACAAACAAACCATTCTCACAAAAGACATGACACCTTGTTGCCGCTCATTCTATAAAGAAACTTTTAAGAATTTATCTCTAAGTAAGTGGTAACCATAGGTACATTTGGAGTACATTTTAGATGCTGAAAAACGGTCAGTATTCACTAATGATAGGTGTTACATGATCAAACTCAATCAACAACCTAAGAAAAACAATAAAAATATTTGACCTTAAGTAATTAGGTATTGGAAATATTATTCTAGAAATAACTTTCATGGTTGCCATGGTAACACAGTGTAACCATGAAAAATCTGTTGCTAAGATTGGGTTAATGATTCTATCTTGAGAAAAAACAATAAAATTCATGACTCGCAAAAATACATCCTTAGGACCTTGCAACACCCACAACATAAGAAAAATTGGGATAAATTGTTACTTTGCAGTGTAACCATGGAAGCAACGTACCAGTCATTGAAAGTGATTTTTTTTTGCTGCCTTAGGAATTTATTTACCTTTCAATCAAGGAACATATTATTTGACTCACCTTGAATAGTACTTATCTGGTAGAACTAAAGTTGAATATCATACATTGATAAAGTTTGTTGAAGATTACAACACTGTTACTATGGTTACCAAGAAGGGAAAATGTTCGATTTTGTTAATTTTATATCAATATTAAACCCCATGTGTCAGCTTTTTGCATCCACTTAGAGATTGGGTGGTAGTCAAAATTGAAAGTCAGATTAGTTGTTCATAAATATCAATCATAAAAGTTTTGGGAATCTACATACAAGGGTACGTATCCAAGGAAACAGAATATTTTTCAGATTTTTATGCATATTTTTTCGGCTAATTTCCATAGCAACGCTCTATTTAAAGAATTGAATTTGAATTTTTTGAAATGTGAAAATTAGGTTCACACCAACGCCTTTAAAAATTGATTATCAGTTATATAGAAATATGCTTTTTGAAAAGATAGGATAAGATTAAAACACCAAGAGAGTAAATTTAAAATCTCTTCGTGGTATTAAAACACTGGCAACCATTGCCAACCTATAAGAAATATCATATTTCGTCCTTGATATATGTTACAAGGATCTTTTGTCTATTATTTGCTTGTATTTCAACCTATAATTGTTTTTATTCCTAAGTGTATGACTTTATAAAATTAAATGAACAAAATTATTACTTTTGAATACTTTGTTTCCATAGTAACGTATGTAATAGTTGATTTACCAAACATGTTTATCATGCATTGAAGACATCAGGCCTTCACCTTTCCGAAACAGTCATTGACACTTGTTTGCTTTGCTGCAAACGTTAACTGTGGGACTCTAAACATGTTCAAAAATGCCATTTTTCAAACTTTAGGACATGTTGCTATGGTAACCATGACACGTAGCAACCAATTTTTGCCTGATTTGAGTTTAAGGTATCAAAGACTTTTATCATAGAGAGTTTGGAGAAATTCTGAGACTATGCGTGCCACAGCTCCTATATAAAAGTTCAAGTCATTACAGAGAATGGCTCTTAACTACTAAAAGGCAAGATTTTGCAATATAAAAATTTGACAATTTTTCTTATTTATATCGGAGGGACATCACATACAGCTATGATTATAAATAAAACCACAGTTGCTATAAAGGTCACAACATTGAATAAATAAAAGAAGAAATAGTCCAGAAAAACAGAAACCTCCTTGCACTCGAACGGAAAGTCTTCCTCAGTCGGGACTGCTGGAGTATTCGAGCGGTGGTTCATCATACGCTTTAATGATTTCCTTCCATCGTTTATTTCTTGTAGCTCCATTTCGTCGTCTACAGAGACAAGTTGGTGTAACTTTGTGTCTTCCACCTTCTTGCTTTTGCAATTAATTTTTAGAAGCACAGTGAATGTGAAACATTGAAGCCATTTTGGTACATCTGTTTGGTCTGTGTTGAGATAGAGGCGGAGGTTTAACACAGTGATGAATATACCCAGGGCGGCCATCATCAGTATTATGGATATGTAAATTCCTGTACAAAAAATTGCATAATTATTATGTTCAAAGTGTATAACATGTACGTTAACAATGTTGCTTTCCCTTTGTTAATCTCGGATTGTCTCCTGCTAAAAGGGTATTTGTTTCACGTCTTTTTGTAGAAAATACATTGAAAACATATTGAATTATTGTATAGTTATCAGGTGATTTTTAAACTTGGAGTAATCTAAAGAATTTACCTATGACAGCAGTGTGCTTTGATGTAGAGGGCATGCTGTCTCCCACAAGCGTCAATAACACTGCTAGGGCTAGAAGGACTGTCAGAATGTAGGAAATCTTTTCTCCGGAATCCGTTGGTAAGAGGAAACTAAGATTTGTTAGCAAAGAAATCAGTATTACAGGGTATACAATGTTCGTCAGGTAATACCCTGGGCGCCGCTGGAAAACAATCTGGAACTCCATCTGTGAAAATTTCTCACCATTTTCTTCCAATACCCGCTCCTCTACTCGCGATGAGTATAAGATCCACTCCCCGTTTTCGTTGAAATCCTCCGTATTGACTGTGTCCCGGGTTCTGTTTAAGGTAAGTACCTCTGTTGTGAAGGCAAAGCTGGTGACTTCAATCTTACACATTTGGTAGTCGAATGGATAGTAAGTGACGTCAATATCGCAGTGGGTGACGTAAAGTCCAGGGGGGTCCCAACGTACCTCGCCCGTATTCTTTACTTTGAAGAATATATCGTCATTCCCGATTGGGTCCATCCCTTCCACTCTCAAAATTTGAGAAACAAATTAGAATCAATTTTATGTATTCTGACATTACTGAAAACATTCTATGAAATCGATCTGCAGGCAAAGTTTCCTTCTCGGGTATCAGTAAATTGTGCTGGATCATTTCAAGCATTTGAACAAGTTGTAAGACAAGCGTAATAAGATACATGTATTGTTTGTTTAGGTTTCATGAAAAATTAAACTTACGAGTTGTCGATGATGAGTTCTGGACGCCATATTTTATTCTGTTTAGTGTAGATGTATTCTATATCCCCATATGTAGACTTTGTCCACACCAGGCGAGGATCCTCCCATTTCTACAATTGATAGATTTCTTTGAGGATAAATAACACAAACATATTGAACTTCTTTGTTTTCATATATTGCTGTGAAATATGTGAATAAATAAAATAAGAACAAAACAGACTGTTATGTCAAGTGAAGCAAATAATTGGTGTTTGCTGGGGATTCGTTTTCAGTGCCTTTCTGAGGAAAGACTCTCCGTAATCATACATCAATTTAAAAAAAATACTATTGGATTCTCTACTCTTTGTAATTTAAAAAAAATCCATTTTTTCAATATATATATATATATATATATATATATATATATATATATATATATATATATATATATATATATATATATATATATATATATATATATATATATATATTGTATAAATTAGAACTCTCCAAAAGGAGGGGCAAATTGTGTTACTTATAATTTAAGTTCATTATCATTCACACAGACTCCTCAGTTTTGACAGTTCAACATATTTAGGACTAGGCTGAAATGATGGCCAAAGATTACATTGGAATATATAGGGAAAGATCTTACAAATACTTCTCAGGAACCACTAAACCAGAAGACAAAATTTATATGAAAGCTTTCTTATATTATGAGCCGTCACGGTAGCTCAGTCGGTAGAGCGTTCTCTTCGTGATCGGAATTTAAGGTCGTTGGTTCAAATCTCGGTGGCGACTCACCTAAGTTGATAAAAAATAGGTAGCAACTGTTCCTTTGCCAGGCGCTCGTCACTTTGAAGTGAAAGTTGCGGGTCCTTCGGATGAGACCTTATAAACCGAGGCCCCGTGTCACGGTAGGCATTGGCACGATAAAGATCTCTCACTGCTCAATGGCCCTGAGTGCAGAGTAAAAGTCTAAATTTGAAGCCCTTCACTGGTACATGTTTATGGTGACGTCTCTATATGAGTGAAAAATTCTCGAATGGAACGTAAAACTATAAACAATCAATCAATTAATCTTATATTAAGAATGTTTTCATTATTTCTGAACAAGGTCTCCAAGGCTACAGTGTAGGATGGGTCTAAAGGAAGAAGTATTTTTTTTACAAGGGAATATGCACGAAAAAAAATATTTCAAATTCTTCTTCTTAAGTAAATTAGGGTTACAATTAGTCAATTTGTAAACAATGAAGATTGTACATGTAGTTGGTAAGGCCAATGCTCCTTTGCGGCTATAGGGTGTGGTCACGTAATTGGAGATCGAATTTCTACATCGATGACAAAAGGGAAAAATCTTTTTAATACATCGTCTCTCTGATTCCTCGTATAAAAATTTGCTTCTATGATGATTTCCCGCAAGAAATTCATAATTAAAATGTAAATTCTTTAGGCATGCCTGTTGTGCAAAATTTGACAGAAATGTTCCAATAAATTGACAATTTTTAATGGAATAAAAGTCATTAATCCTAATGAGAGTTTACTGTTATCTCTTTTATCAGGGGGACAATGAACCTTGAGCACAACAGGACCAAGGTTACCCTGGTGAGTATTGTGGCCTTTGGGCCTCTTGTCACGTCAGTATAGGGTATATTGCTTATTCACTATAGAGGCCTCAAATTGATCTTAAAACTTGAGATGCCAACTGGCCAAACAAAATTAAAAGTTTGCTTTTTATGGAAATGATTTTACATAATACGAGGGGTGATCAAAAAGTTCGCGAACTAATTGAATTACTTCTTAAAAGAAATAAAATGAGGTTTCAGTGTTCATTATTTTTTAAAGTAGTCCTTTCTAATTTTAATACACATCTGCCATTGTTCTGCCCATGCGCGAATCACGTGATCCAGGTGGTCACGTGACATGCTCCGTAGCGGTCTGTTCACAGAGGCTGAGAGATTTTCCCGAGTCTTATATTTCTTACCATGCAAGTTTTTTTTTATAACAAGAACAGACCATCTGCCTGAAATGGCCAATTCTCGACAATTGGATGGGTGGATAAAGATATCCCTTCCCAGAATTAGCATGGTGACCATCACAACCCGAGTCCTCTGTCTCGGGAGCGTCGTTTATCCAATGTAGAAAAAAGTATGGGCGCCTTCTTTTTTCATATCTCATATGTTTAAAGTCTAGCGTAAACGATATTTTAGGAATTTAATAATTATATTATTGTTCAGATATTCAACTATTTTTCTAATTTTAACTTGGCGATCTTTCAAAACAAATTGCTCAACTAAGGACACATCTTATTACCGGCTTGCTTTCGATGGGCAACAGAACAAACATCATTTTTAACCAACTCCCTGCCTTCACTAAAACAATCAATCCAATTAATGAATAAACTTCTGATAAGTCATTTGTCTTCATAAACCTTGTAGAAATAATTATATTCTACTGCAAAGGAATTTCCGAGATACAGGTTAAACTTTACAGCCGTTCGTTGCTTGAGTACGACTGAGTCAACCATTTTTATCACAAGTCACCTACATATTGACGTCATTTTCACATTGTGACGTCACAAACACTGAGCAAAACATTATATTGAACATATGCTATTTATAACACATGTGCATGACTATATATGTGCCAAATTATATTCTGATCTGAATTGTGGTTTTGTAAATATAGAGATAGTTTGCGAACTTTCTGATCACCCGTCGTACATGCATGAGAAAAGACCTCTTTTGGATAATGAAATGAAGAGATTTAAAAAGTTTTAAAATACGTACGACTGTCATCCATCCGGAGGTTGACATGATCTGACTTTTCATATCCTATAAAATGAACATAAAGTTCGCATTCAGATACTGTATAATCACTTATTTTCGTGAGGTCAAATTTTCGACGTTTGTGGAAAAAAGTGCTGATTCAAGGGGATTTAATTGCGTGGTTGGTAGACAAACATGATGCTATACTTTGAAAGTTTTAGGATATAAATTTGGGGGTCTTTTCTTACCTCGAAAACAACGAAAATTAAAACCATACAAAATAAGCGATTTTACAGTAATCCTCCATTTTTATCTTGATAAGCTTCAAATGTCAAAACTCTGTTTAAAAGCACATTTGAAAAAGTATCAAAATTAACTCGGTAAGAATATTTCTTTAAGTTACCAGTTCATTAAGAGAAAAGAGGACAAATTCGATACTGATGTTAGTGACGTCAGAGGGTCTCACGTGACTGTTGTAAGAGGCACCGAGCACAGCAGTATGAATGTTCGTGGCATGTGTAGTGGTAAACGCTCCTAAAGAACCTACAAACCGCATTTTCACAAACATGACGTCTGACAAATAAGAAAATAGTCTAAGAGTAATATGAAGAAGAATATGCATTATATTTTTTACTACTTATCATTTCGAAAAAAAACTTACTTTACTGTAGCAATCCCATAATAATTAATGCTAAAGGACCCCATACATGTATTTTTAACTTTGAGGAATACCTTACCTTTGAGAGTAAAAAGTATGCTTATCAAAAATATTATAAAATCCATCGTAATGTTGGTCACATCAAGTTCTACAAAATGTCATATTGATAAGTCTAGAAACAAGTTGGAGGTACCCAAGGAAACACTGCCACAATGATTATCAAACAAAGGAAAGGACCTCATGATTTATCATGGTTGTATATCACAAGAATAAAAGTCTTATTCATAAACTGTCATTGGACTGAATCTAAAAACTACACTGTCTCTATAGAAGAGATTTTAAACCGTTATAATTGCCATTTAATTTCAGTAGGCTTTGTAAATATTACATATCAAGTTTCTGACGATACAAAAACACCTGATTTAGTTATAGTTTTAAATCTCTGGATCAGTAATTTAAAGGAACAACACTTTAAAGACACGTATACAAATATGTGTACTTTGAATGAATTGTACATTATTTATTAAGTTGCATTTTTTTTAAAACGAAGGTTTTGTTTTCAAGTATGATAATAATAAGTATATGATAATAATTTTATGAAAAATTATTTACCTGGACATTGGCAATTTGTTTGCGAGAGGGGGGTCCTTATGTCAGAAAAAAATCTATCGTGCAAGTACTTCAATGTTTTTATTTTACACAAACAAAGCTGACCTACAACATGCTGTGTCAGCGCTGCAATCCCATGTTCAAATTTCAGAGAAAGTGGACCTAGCTTGCCAAAATAATTATCCCCTTGCACAACTAGTTGCGGAGGGGATATAGCATCGCTACTGTGCGTATGTGTGTGTGTTAGAGTGTCCGTTACAGCTTGTGGGCAAGATTTAAAGAGAACCTTGGCACTATCAATTTTCAGCCTCCATATTCTTATGTGGCATTGTAAAAGGGTGAAACCTATTCATTTTCAAGTTAATCGGTGAAATATTTCTTAAAATATCGAGTTTTTACTACTTCAAACCCTGAAATTTTATGTACGAGTTGACAATACTCACTTCCGGTCAACTAACTTAAACTGGTTCCCTGTTGACCGGGTAAATTCGGGTCGCTTCGATAGAGTCGCTTCGGTAAATTGGTGTACTAACTTTGTATTTGCGTATTGTCATATTATTGTGCGTATCTTGAGACAGTCTGAATGAAGTTAAAGTGTCATCTCTGACACTGAGTTATTGAAATGATTTGATGAACATTGCGGTTTCATTATCAAATTACCACAGGTGTCTGTTTACAATATGGAATTTATTCTTGAGGCTATGAACATGATGAAGACATTTCACAAGTTTCATCGACCTCTCTACAACGGTATATTGTCATTTTTCATTATGAAAAAAAATATTGCTTTCGTGGGTATTCTCAGATTTGATGCATATTGCATGCAACTGCGAGGTATACTCAGAAAGGTAAATTATTGAGATTTAGAGCATACGTAATAAATAAGGGAAACTGCCCAATCACGTATGCCTGTTTTGCCCCCACCAAGATGATATGCACCTTGAGTTTTGTTAAAAATGGACACCCCTCCTCAAGATATCCACATTGACTTTTGTTAAAAATTTAATTAGTGTTGCAATACATTTTAATTTTTTTTACCTTATTTTATACTTTATATAATAATACTGGATCCCTTGATTACTAGATGATTGTATCTTGTTTAACGACCCTCTTGAGAATTTTTCTCTCGTATGGAGACATTGCCATTACCGGTGAAGTTTCTGCCGCAAGGGGATGCTCCGCTTAGCGGTGCTCTTGTTTAACTTAGAAGTCATGTTCGGATGCTGCATCCGATCCTTTATCATAATTTTCTAGATTAATGATCATCTTTTTATTTTGGAGCAGGCCTCTTTTCTAGTAAGCCTTACGTTGATCAAGCTTTCGTGCATGCTAACTATATAAGTCATGATTCAGTTTCGACTGCATCTGATGCATATGAGTGGGCAGGTATTGTTTTGAGCATATCTATTTCTGAATAAGTATATATTTATGTCGACCAAATTTGTACTTACAGTTGCACATTTGGAGCGTTTCCAGTAGTGGATAACTATAAGTCCTAAATGTGCAAAATTCGCAATTACTATATACACCTAGGGATGAACACTACTGCAGTCTTGCCTCATTTGTTTTACTTATCAGATATGTAGCTAAAACACATAGCGATAATATCAGCAACATTTGTAACATTCATTAAATCTTAGATTTTTTTATTCATTTAATTATGATTGTCGAGGTGAGTTTTTGTATGTTTGTATGTTTGATGACCTATGGTTGTTGTCATAAGCGCGCTGAGGGAGCTTTTTTCTGTAATACAGTGTACTAGTATTTGTGGGTCTCTTCGTATATCGAAAACAACGAAAATAAAACCCCATAGAAAATTAGTGCACGTTTAGTACACGTTTCTTAACAAAGAAGACGCGGAGGAGTACTATTGCATATGTAGATCAGAGTTCAAGGCAAAGGTCATTTCAATAGACATTATACAATATATTGCTAAAAATAAAATTATTTAGCGTTGTAAAATTTGTGGAGTTCATTATTATAAATTTCCCCAAACTGAGAGGAGAATCTTGATTTTGGATTGTCGAGCTGTCTGCATGTCACAATATCATGTTCTTAAAATACTCCGAAAAGGCTTGACTGGAATAGATTCAATCTAACTGTGTTGTTACCCATGATCTAACGATGTTTCATGATTTGAATTATAGGTCGTATCTGTTGGATCATGATCGACGGGCAATGAGATAACGGTACATAGCTTTTTTTGCCAGTAACTTTGAATTTCGATGAAAATATTTTCGGTCATATATAGGTTGCTAACCATTGCAGGATGAATGTTTTATCCTAGTATATTAAATTGATCAAGTACGTCTTCTATAACTTATTAAGTGAACATGGTAACCACGGAGAAAAAATTTGCCTGGGAAGACATTCGCTTTTGTAAACAAAAATCTAGTTTGAAAATAAATTGATTAGTAATAATAACACACCCTTAATCATTGACTATTCCATACCCAAAACAATAAATGAAATGTATTGAAATGGCACATGCAAAGAACTTTAGATTTTGCTTAAAAAGCGTTGGTAGAAAAAAAATTCTGTTCATGATTTTAAAATGAACTGACCAAACAAGTTTCAAATACTTTGATACATGTATAATGTGATCCAGCATCCCTGAGCACTTCATATTATCCATGATTTTGTTTTACATGATATAAAAGTCATCCTCTATAAATTGTTTTGTACATGAGTTCTCATAAAATGTTTTGAGTATTATCTTCTGACGTTATGTTATATTATGATTTTAATGCCATTTTCTCCTACAGGCGCTGATCTAGGATTTTTTTTAAGGGGGTGGGGTGTCTATATCAACTCTAACAAATGTCAGACTCGGAAATTTTTTGCCCCCCCCCCCCCAATTTGGAGACAAATTGCCTAAATCTGAAAAACGTATTTCGTGGCGAGGAAGTTAAAAATGTAGACACTTTCCATAGTCAATTTTCTTCAGAAACACGACTCTCCTTTCCATTTTAAAAGGGTCCATGTTTCCTAGGTGGGGTCCAAGGTAATTTTTCGTCATTTTTAATAACTCATGAATTCCAGGGGGGTACAGACCCCCCCCCCTCACCTAGATCCGCGCATGTCCTACATTGTATTGATAAACATATTGTTTTTCATAAACAAATTTTCTGAATTTTGACCCCTATGATATCAAATAAATTAACTCCATTTCCAAAAAATCACCGACACTTTAATTCGGTAAAAAAACCCTCTTATTTATTACGTTTTATCAGAAACAATTTTTTCTTTCAAATTGCTCTCATTCCCTCAAGCTCTAGACTTGCTGCTTTTTTCATCACCGTGGAAGAAAACAGATGCAAAAAGAATTAAAAACAAAAGAATGGAATAATAAAATCATTAATTCAACACAATTAGAAAGATAAAAGAAAGGTATTTAAGGTAGAAACATAAATTTTACCTTGAAATAATCTACTCCAATAAAGAACAGTTTCCGTGGTCCAAACAAGCTATCATCATTATCATCGACTTCATCGTCATTTTCATCGGCTTTGTTGGCATTCATAAGCTAAGGAAAAATGTAAAGTTGTCATATACATGTAATTATATGAAATTATATTCTACTAGTACTATATTTCATACAAAAATAATTTTTACACATTTTCATAAAGATAGCAAAACAATATTTTTAATATTAGAATATGCAAGTTCTTTCACGAGTTGCCTGACGTTTACTAGTTTGCCTTTACCTTACTTGCTATAGCTGATAATTATGTAAGGTGTGTTATTGTAATTCTTATATTATAGTTACCTTTCTCCTGTCTGGAGCCTGTTGT